AGCACTTTTTGTCTGACTTAAGGGAAAGGAGGAGGATTGTGGCAGGATGTGGTCAGTTAGGAGCAGAGCCGAAGACAGAAAAAAAGTCTGTTTTTTTTAACAGTTTGAATGTCCTTTAATTAAATGTCCCATCAGCATTTGAGTTCTGCAGAACTGACATCAGAAATAGAAAGCTGTGAATTTAAGCAATTGCTACAAATAGCATGCTGGTGAAGGTCCTCAGTCATCCAGGTCATGGTAATCCAAAGGGGTTCGGATAAAGGCAACTGGAAAATTCAAGGTTCGAAAATACTTCTTAAACATGGGAGGGGCCCTCGGGTTCACCTTTCCAGCACATACAGTGCTGCTTTACACTTAATTCCAAAACCGTTTCAGTCTAGGTCACACCCTCCTGCATCTAATCAAAACAAGCATCCCCACACAATAGAGCCTAACAACCACAACGACTCCTAAGTGGGTAGGGAGAAGAGGTATTCACGTGTAGTTTCAGCTCATTACACAATAGCCAGCTGCAGGTTTAAAGCTCGACTCTTCCATATTACAGTCAGAAGTGACAAAGCTCCCCAGAAGTGAAACATCTTCAAGAACCCAAAGAAGTCCAGTTGCCTTCGTTAGAACCCTTTTATGTTTATGTTTATGTATTTAGCAGACGCTTTTGTCCAAAGCAACTTACAAGTGATAATCGGCATGTTGCCCTTGAGGCTAACAACAACAATAACAACAACAACTTGACATCAATCATGGAGAGGAGGGAACAAGGAGTGGACAGTAGAGAGGGGGGACGGGTGCAGGGAGGGTGCTAGTTTAGAAGATGCTCTCTGAAGAGCAGGGTCTTCAGGAGTTTCTTGAAATTTGAAAAGGAAGCCCCTGTTCTGGTAGTGCTTGGTAGGTCATTCCACATTTGTGGAATGATGCATGAGAAGAGTCTGGATTGTCCTGAGCGTGGTGTAGGCACTGCTAGCCGACGATCCTGTGATGACCGGAGCGGCCGGGCCGAGACGTAAGCCTTTGCAAGAGGATTCAGGCAGATGGGAGCCGTACCATCTCGGACTTTGTATGCTAGTGTTAGCAATTTGAATTTGATGCGTGTTGCTAGCGGTAGCCAGTGGAGCTCAATGAACAGAGGGGTGACGTGTGCTCTTTTTGGCTGATTGGAGACCAGACGCGCCGCTGCGTTCTGGACCATTTGAAGAGGTCTCACAGTACAGCCTGGAAGACCCGTTAGAAGGGCGTTGCAGTAATCTAGGCGGGAGATGACAGTAGATTGCACCAGGAGCTGGGTTGCATGTTGTGTTAGGTATGGTCTGATCTTTCGTATGTTATACAGCGCAAAGCGGCATGAACGAGCAACAGAGGCAACATGATCTTTAAAGGTCAGGTGTTCATCAATCACCACACCCAGATTTTGAACGGCCTTTGAAGGAGGCAGAGATAGGAAGTCATTTTGGATTGAGATATTGTGCTGTATGGATGGTTTTGCTGGGATGACAAGTAGTTCAGTTTTAGAGAGGTTGAGTTGGAGATGATGGGATTTCATCCATTTTGATATGTCAGAGAGACAGTTTGATATTCGTGCAGAGACAGTGTGGTCATCCGGTGGAAATGACAGATAGAGCTGGGTGTCGTCTGCATAGCGGTGGTAGGAGAAGCCAAGTGATCGAATGATCTCACCCAGTGAGGTGGTGTTCATGGCAAAGAGAAGAGGTCCTAGTACAGAGCCCTGGGGGACTCCTGTGGCAAGATGGTGCACGGTAGAGGATTGTCCAAGCCAAGATACACTGAATGATCGTCCTGGGAGGTACGTTTCAAACCAGGCGTGTGTTTTCTCACACAGCCACTTCATCCTTTCCATCTTACTACAGTTTGGGCCCCCCTTCAGGTGTGCTTTAATTTTTCATGTGATATATTTAGTAAAGTGTTGGAAACATCATCATCTCCAGTTCCACCACATCCCAAAGGTTCTGGACTGTACTGAGAGCTGGACACTCTGGAGGCAGTTGGAGTTCAGTGAACTGTTGCATTTTAATGAAACCAGTTAGAGATTAGTTGAGCTTATGTTGCATCATCCTGCTGGAAGTAGCCATCAGAAGATGGGTCCACGTAGTCTTAAAGGGATGGACATGCTCAGCAACAATACTCAGGTATGCTGTGATGTTTAAATCAGACCTAGGTGGTACGGAGGGGTTCATAGTGGGACGAGAACACATCATTACACCATCAACCTGAATCATCCAGTCCAGATGGATGTATGCAGAGAGAGAGGTAGTATATATGTCGATGGTGCCAACTCAGCGACTTTGTCGCTGTTCCTAACGCCTAGTGACAAAGCTAGCTACATTTCTGAGGACCCTTAGCTACTTTCTGTAGAACTTTCTTCTAGATATTTCCTGAAAATTAGCAACAAAATAGCCGTTTTCACTCCGAAACATTCTTTGGTTTGACGTTGTTTCAGCTGTCATCAAGGATATAAATGTTACAGATGTAAAGGATGTCACTGGTGCTTTAGCTCACCTAGTAAGACATCGTACTCTCATGCAGAAGACCCGGGGATTCGATTCTGGATGTGAACATAATGTATTTAGAGTTTCTTTTTTACATTAATAGTATATTTTTTTTACAGTAAGATGCCCACATTTTTGTTTGAGACTTGCCGAACGGCATTGAATTCACAGATAAAAAAGATGTGGGTTCAACTTTCATTTTGGAACAATTTTTCAAGCAAGGGAAGGGAATGATCTGAGCATGCAGGAGGACTGACCCATCATAAACCTTTGTCGGCTGTGCTGAAGAGAAAGGTACAGAACCAAATTATTTAATTAATTAGCTGCACGTTCTCCTGTCCTTCCTCTGTCCTCCGGGCCACACACACACACACACACACACACACACACACACACAAGGGACTGTCTCAGCTGTTATTTTCGTTAAGGAGTGTGCACGTACAGCATGCGCGCCTCGTGCACGAGCCTACTATTGAAGCTGTCATTACGCTTTTGGCCTGAGGGGGCAAATCGCGAACATAAAAATTCAAAAGTCCATAAAGTCCCTTTAATGCTTCTAAAATCAGCAGATTTTGTATAGAATAAAAATGATTAAAGCTTAATTTGCGTTATTATGAACACACATCACACACATTTACGCTTCGGAGATTAATAAAATAACTGTCACATGACTAAACAAACACACGTCACCCTCTGAAACAGATAAACAAATGGAGACAAGCTGGAAAAAATATTGGTAGTTAATATCAGCCCAGTTTTGTTTATCGGACCGATGCAGATGTTAAAAAATGGCCGATACCGATGTCGATATTGTGCATCCCTTCTAGGAACGTTTCTTTCCACTCTCTTATGTTCCAGTTCTGGAGATCCCGTGGGACATGAGTGACAACTGGTGTGGCCTTCTGCTTCAAGGCTCAACATGTTGTGGTGTACTTGAGCTTTCCATCATCTAGAGCCCGTCTGTACTTTCTCTCCTGACCTCTGACATCAACGAGACATTTTCATCCAAACAACTTTCACTGTCTGGAGATTTCCTCCTTTGTCACATCATTCTCTGTGAACCCCAGGGACGGTTGTGGGTGAAAATCCCAGTAGATCAGTAGTTTCTGAAGTACTTGGACTAGCCCTGCACCAAAAACCACATCTGAGTCACTTCATCCTCTTCTCCATTCTGATGCCCAGTTTGAACATCTTCACTACGCCGGCACTGAGCTGCTGTCATGTGACCGACTGATTAGCTGTGTGTGTTAACAAGCAGCTGAACAAGTGTACCTAACAAAGTGGCCAGTAAGTGGAAGCCCATTAAGCAGAAGAGGACTGGACCGAAAGAGGGCTTCTGAGCTCTCAGTCACCGTCCTCTGGTTATTGATTGTTTATTCGATTAGAGGACTGCCCTACGATCACGTTTCCCTAATCGGGGCAGATTACAGAAAGAAACATGATGCTGCGCTTGTCCCGAATCTCACGTCATAATGCTAAAGTAATTAGATTACAGGCAATGTGCATCAAGCTTTCTTTTGGAAAGGATCCAGCTGTTGGGGACAAACAAGCACACAGGGTGAAGTGTTTTTATTTGAAATAACAGGTTTTAGTTTGGCGTAGCCAGCTCAAGATGAGCGATGAAGTTAAAAGAAAAAGCAGACTGGTGTAATCAATTAACATTCAGGACTTGTAGCACATTAGTGAACAGTCTGTTGCTCTTGGACGCAAACCAAAAAACATTTTTAGAGTAAATTAACACGTCGCTCAAAGAGACTACAACTGAAGATTTAGTTTTATGGACCCGTCCTTGGACGCTGCAGACTCATGGTTCTCCTGGGTGAAGCTGAACTAAAAGTCTCCTCAAATCCATTACATCCCACACAGCGAGGATCATTCATTATTAACGAGAAGCATGGAGTCATTGGGTATCTTTCATCTGAGGCAATTGCCTCTTTATGCAGGCCCTCAGATGGAGGCAATCCTGTTTCAGTTTTAAAGGAATATTTTTAGCTTTTCGGGTCATGTCGACAAGCTGAAATATGCTTTGTTTGAAGGGATCCAACACCAGAGTATTGATGCAGAATAAAAACAACACACCCGAGGTGATTTATGGAGGTGCTTGTGAGAAAATACTTTGTTCAGAAACACTAAATAGATTTAATGGGGATTTATTATTTGAGTCGTGCTGAAAACCGTCTTGAATTAGAATGAATAATAAAATTAAAATAAATCATCACCTTCATGGACGTAATTTTTGGGGGGGACAGGGGGGACATGTCCCCCCCACTTTTTCCAAAGTCAAGTTTTGACCCCTGCACTTTTTACCATCCAAAAACAATATTACGCTATATTGAAATTGACACTGGTAGAGCTCTAGGACCAAGCGGAAAACAACCGTTTGTGTTGAAGTTGGTTTCCCATTAGAACATACTGTAAAGATACCACCCCCCTGCCCCCCGTGTCCCCCCCACTCACGTCCACGATCACCTTATATGGTTGATTAAACTTTTATTATGTTATAAAGCACAGAGGATGTGAGTGTTGCATTGCTGGTGCTGAGGAACTGTTCCCAGATTCACAAGAGGCCACTGTCCCACCTGCAGCCGTCACTCCTGCTTTTGTATAATTCCTTATATAATCTATAAATTTGGGGCTCTGCAGCAAACTTTGCATTAACTGGGGGGAGGGGGGTGAATTAGAAGAGATTCAGCCTGATGTGATTGTGCCATACGAGGACAAGCGGGGAACCTATAACAGAAACATCCTCACGTAACCGTGATGTCAGATTATTCATCATGCTCATCGATACTCCCTCCAGACGGAGCAGCTGCCCCACTCCCTGCGCCCACATGCAACAGACGGCTCCTGTTCTGCAGGGGGGACGCTGGCTGTCCCGCTCGGAGCTGCAGAGGCTGATGATGAGTACGATTTGGCTGGGAGGAAAGGCATTCCCGTAGCACACCTGAGCTGATTTGGAGCGGTGGGCGCGCGCGCGCGGCGCATCGTTTTAGAGGCTGCGTTCCGTCTTCGTGGGATCCAGAGATGACGCCCCGTCTGCTGGGCGGCGGGACAACCAGGACCTTTCTGTCAGGATGCTTGATTTCAGCTTGCCAAGCCCTGCAAAGCTGCGGGGACGTCCAGTGCGTCGATGGCCAGCAGTGCTGTCCGCCCACCGTCTCCGGTAACGGCAGCGCCACCTCCGCGGTGCGCTGCTGCAAGCTGCCCATCCACGTCTTCTTCGACAACGTCGGCTGGTTCACGCGGAAGCTGTCGGGCATCCTGATCCTGCTGCTGCTCTTTGCCATGGGCTACTTCATCCAGAGGATCATCTGCCCCCGGCCCCGCCGACCCCAGAACCACGACCACAGCGAGGAGCCCTCCCTCTTCCACGGCCACACATCCGCGTCCCAGGATTTCCTTTTGGACCGGTACCCCGAATGCAACCTGGGGGACTTCGCCTCCCCGAACCTGCCAGCCTACGACGAGGTGAAATACCTGCCCTCGTATGAGGAGAGCATGCAGGAGATGCACAGAGACCGGTCCGATGACCATCTGCTGTTGGACAGCGAGAGGGGCGGAGAGGGCAGGGGGAGCAGAACCGGACCGAGGTCCGGACAGCCGACACCGGATCTGCTGGAGGAGACAGGACCACAGCAAAGCCCAAGGACAGCTCGGAACTCCGTCTGAAGCTGGACACAAACTGAGACAACAGTATTACTCACTCATCACCATCAGGGGACGTTTGCAGATTCACAAACTCAAGTGCAATTATAATAATCCTGAATGTTCGGAATAAAAGAGGAGGCTGAGAGAGATTGTGAGATTATAGATGTCTGCTCTTTTGTATGCAAATGAGCGTTTGGGTCATAATCCAAGGGATTATAGAGAAACGGTGTTTAAAGGGAGCTCTTTGTCATCATTTGGCTCCAGAATAATTACGGTGCATGAAGTCTGCACCTACATTTTTTTGGAACTGTGAGAAACATTTTCTCTTCTTAATCAAAGGGAAAATCGCACATTTTTATTATTTATTGAACTTGCATCCAAATGAAAAGAAATTTCACAAAAATCATTGACAAAAAAAGAGAGATTATTGTTAGAGCAAGCCAGCCTAGGAGCCAGTGGGATGGTGACCCGTCAGCATGAAAGCGAGATGCTATTCAAATATGCACATTCACTGGTAGCTTATAGATAAGCTATTTATCATTGAGCTGAGTCATGTTTTATGTGTTTGCTGACAGATGAGGCACAACAAAGTTTAAACACCCCGTGCAGGGAGAACAACAGCAGCTGGGACTCTGTTCTGGTGGGAGCTGCCAAAAACTAAAGTTGTATTCTGATGATTACGCGTCAGACGAGATCAGAACCGATGGTCCGAGCAGAACTAATACTAAACGGCTCAGAAGAAGACCGGAGACATCTGCGAGACAGGCAGGAGGCTGCTGCTGTTTGTTCTGCAAAGGTGATGTGAGGACACAGGCTGAGAAAACCTCTAAGTGATGACCATAAGTGGTAACCATCGCTAACGCGGTCTTTTTTTGGACGCTACAATCCCAAAATCCACCCAACACGTAAATAGTGACTTCAAGCTAAATGCAACTGTTCCTGGAGGGAAGACGACGGTCAGTCAGACGCTGCAAAGAAAAGGCTCTCGTTGAGTTTTGCTTGACAAGAGCAGAGCGCGCTATCGTCTTTCCTGTCAATAACTCCAAGCCAAAAATGAAGCCTGCGTGTAAACTATGGAGAGCGTCATCTGGAGGTCAAAGGTCACATCCTTGCAAACACTATTATGCTCAATTTACCATGAAAGGGGACTTTTGTTTGCTCAAGAGGCTTCAGAAACACATTGTTTTGGAGCATTTTTCTTTTGAAAAGCATCTCATTTTAGTCAAACAACACAAAACAGGCCGAGTTCCCCGTTCTGTCGGGAGAAAGGTTGAAATCCCAGCAAACTTTAATGACCCTCAAAATTAAAGCAAATGCATCCATCACAACTCTCTTATTTTACTCAGATCCTAAACCTTTTAAAAAAGCAGTCACAGGAACAAAGATGCACACTAGCATTTAGCGTTAGCAACCATCAGCTGCTCTAATGCCCCCCACCCCCACACACACACCAAACGCTGGACTGTGATTGTTGTGGCTTCGGTAATCCAACACCGCCCTTGTGATGGCTGAGCCGATAGTGATCACCGATGCTTCCTCTCCTCTGAATTTTTGCTCTAAAAACCATTAGACCAGTTAAATCCTGATGGGTGTGTGAGGTGCAGTGTGTGTGTCAGAACATGTAGTTAAAACGGTTTCACTCAAATCCAAACAACTTCTGCTGCTTGGCTGAAGAACAACATATTTATTCTATTAGTTTGTTTTTGTTGTTTAAAGAAAAGATGAAACACTGACAGATTTAGATTTGGCGCACATGAAGCGGATTTTCGGTCTGTGCCCATAATCCGGTTACTCCGTTGCTTACTGGACAAAAGAACAGAAAAGGGCAAATCGATAAAGCTTAGACTCCTCATACATTTTTCATGATATCCCCGCTGCATCACCGGCCTCTGGTTCTCCCGGTTTAAAATAAGAACAGAGTTTACTTCGTGTCATGCGGGTTCAAAAACACCAAAAGCAGCTTTTTTGTGTTTAGAAGGAGCAGCTGTTAGTTTTCACTTCAAAATAAGATGAAAAGTTGAGGTTTTGGTGCCAAACTTTAGGTTTAATGAATGAAAATGAATTTTCCAATAAGTGATAATAACATCAACGTGATCTTTTTCAGGATTTCATTGTGCGTGGCCAGTGGGAAACTTCTATTAGACTCATAGTTTGCTCTAATTTACTTTAAAAGTAGACTTGGAACATTAGCAGCGGGAAGAAGTAAAACAAGTTTAGGAGAATTAATCCATTGAGGGATTTTCCTGCAGCTGCAGCTTTCTCTGATGATTCAGCATCCAGGTCGGTGGATTCACGCTGCTCACTTTTTACCGTATATGTCCACGACACCACCGTGGAGCTGAGAGTCCACAGGCTGATCTTCTCCCTCCCGGGCCGCTGGAGTAGATGGATGGGCCGTAATGCTGCGGTGCTGATGCGCGGGCGTTCGGCCAAACGGGTGGAGCGAGGTCTTGCAGCAAGCAGCCTGTTCGCACCTCAGCGGAAGAACGCATCAAGAACTTAAAGAGCAAGTCACTCCAAATCAACATTTTTTTGCTGATAAACTGTATAAATGAGCGTCTGGTGGTGCTGCAGACACGTGTATTCAATAATTCGGCACTTTAGTGCATCTTAGTTCAAATTTAAAAATTCTGCCTAAAACTGTCAGTGTTGCACCGTCGTCAGGTAAAAACTCAGCACAGCATTTGAATTTAAATCTGCCGTCGCTATTGGCTAAGAGGTACACTATGATGTTAGATGGTACATTATGATGTCACAATGTCGTGAGTGTGTGTATTTGTTAGCGGCTCCACCCTCTCGGTCTGCTAGGCAACAGCAGTTGTTGCATTTTTCAAACAGGAAGTGGGAGTTGAGTAAGAATCTGGTAGGGGGTGACTTGCTCTTTAATAAGAAATAATCCTACGATCGTCAGAAAATGACAACAAAATGAAAAGAGAGAAAGAGAAAGACAATCATCCCATTTTTTTAGCATTAGGAAAAAAGGTAACAGGTAAAAAAATATATATTTAATTTATAAAACCACATTGGGCTGCATGGTGGCGCAGTGGTTAGCACTGTTGCCTCGCAGCACGAAGGTCGCAGGTCCGAAACTCGGCTGCGGCCTTTCTGCGTGGAGTTGCGTGTTCTCCCCATGCATGCGTGGGTTTCCTCCGGGTACTCCGGTTTCCCCCACAGATCACAACATGCCCTGTAGGTTATAAATAGTAAGTCGCTTTGGATGAAAGCGTCTGCTAAATAAATAAAAACATAAACATAAACATTTGTGCATGAAAATGAACACGTCAGAAATCCAGATGGTGCTGGGTGTTAAACAAGAGGGCTGCATGTGATCTTATGACTGAAACCCAGCAGATTGGTGTTGTGGAAGAACCGGGACCCAGGAGATGCTAAAACAGCTGCTGGCTCTTACTCACAGCATATTCAGGAGGATCGACTAGCCACAGGCACGTCCGTAGGAACTAATCCACAGCGGAAAGCTACATTTAATAAAAGCAGAAAAATTAACAACCAAGCAGCAAATGCGGCTATCTAGACACTTTCTGGACATCAAAGTTCGCTGTTCTTCATCTCAGAAGCAGCCGTTCTAGTCTCGACTACAGCGATTCAGGGCTGAGCTCGCGGTAAACGTCTTTGTAGAGAAAAGTCGTGTTTGTTGTTATCCTCCTGCCACAGTAACGGAGCGCCGTGACAGCATGTTGCAGCGCGCGTCACAGGGCTGGATGAGTGGGGAGAGTCTTGCTCCTCGTGGCCTGGTAATCACGTCTCTGAGTCTTTTTCTTTTGGATGTGTCTCATTTCTGGCGGACACCGTACCTCCAGCGAAGGTCCTGCATTACGCTCGGGTGCAATAACTAACGGCGTGCGGCCACGCTGCTCCTCACAGGGTTGTTGGCAGCTTTCTCCCGTTCTTTACACAGCTCCATCTCTATCTTGGCCTGGATCTTTTCCCAGTCCACTTCAACCTTGAAGAGGAAAAGGAAAATTGGACAAAATTAGATTAGATGAACTGAAAAACGTGGGATTGGGATGTGGCGCTGAGCCGAAGCACATCCAGTAAAGGAGGACAAACGCAACTTCTGATCCGTAAACGATGAAAAGTGAAACATCATTTTTACACAATTTAACTCACAGCAGTTAGAAAAAGCTTCATAGGTAGTTTTCCAATAAATAACTGTTATTATTGTTAAAGTTATTTCACATAAAAAAGTTAAATTGGTTACATTTGATAAAATCTGGGCTTTTCAGTCCAGCCATCATAAGAACTGATATTCTGACATTTGCTTCTCGGCCGTCAGTCTGACAGTTTTTCAGAGTAATTACAACCGAACTTACTTGAAAAATGAACATTTGAAAATACAGCAGCAACAAAAAAACCCACATGAATCAACACCAAGAAACATCTGCGGCACTTTAAAAGGAAAGATCAGATAAACATCCCATTTGTTCACTAGGATGAAGCAGCACTTAAAACTCATACTGGAACCAGCCACTAGAGGGCGATTGTTACATACGCACTTCACCTTCCCTTTAAAGCTGGATTTATACTTCTCCGTCAGCTCCAAAAGGGAGAGACGGAGACATTTATTCCTCATAATTCTCCGTTTCCTGGGGAGCGTTGAAAAGCAATTCCCTGCCAGGACAGCAGGGGGCGTAGCGCTGTTCTGTGGTATCCTGTCATGTATCTGGTCCAAGATAGTGCGTTTATGTTGTGTTTTTTTGTATTCAAGAGTCTTTTTAACACAGACACATTTGTCTCTCATCCTCCTCCACCTCTTCATGAGCTCGCCACCTCTAAACCCACGCTTCCTGTCATTTCCGTCACAAAATTAAACGCTTGCTGCACATCTTTTCACTCCTCCAGTCACGGGGAATTAAATGTTCATGTTTTTAGAGTTTTTTTGCGAGGTGTTCTTCTAACTTCTCCATGTCCGCCTCTAGACAACCTCGGCTCTCTTTCTGTTTTTGAGGGCGCGATGGCGGGGGTGTAGACGACAGCGGCGCCCTGACCAATCACAAGCTTGCGTTCTCTGTCTCGACTGACGGATGTTTAGAAAAGAGAGCTCGACTCTGTCCGTCCTTGCGAGGGCTCGCCAGCAGGCTCGCAAGGACGGATAATGGCGTTGCATGTAGGGATGCACCGATACAGATACTGGTATCGGTGCAGATACCGATACGATACTGGTATCATACCATACCATACCACCTTTATTTATATAGCACTTTAAAAACACAGCCGTACGGCTGACCAAAGTGCTGAACAGTCGCACAATAACAGAGATAGAAAACATAAAACAGTACTATGAAATACAACCAACAACAAAAAAGACAAGCCGATAAAAAAGTACCAATAAAAACCTTACAATGGATGATAAAATAAGAGTAGTGAAAGCCAAACTAACAGCTAACTATTAAAAGCAAGGGTAAAATAGTGTGTCTTTGGTCTAGACTTAAAATCTGCCAAGGTGGATGCCAGTCCAACTGTGACTGGAAGTTCGTTCCACAGTTTAGGACCGGCGACAGAGAAAGCTCTTGGTCCGCGTGATTTATAACACGCTTTCGGGACCTCGAGGAGCAACAGGCTGGAGGACCTGAGTGTGCGACTGGGAGTATAAATTGAAAGAAGATCAGGTAAGTACACGGGGGCAAGACCACGGAGGGATTTGAAAACAAAAAGTAGCATTTTATGTTGGAGCCTGAAAGTGACGGGCGACCAATGAAGGGATTTGAGAACTGGTGTTATATGCTGGCGCCTGTATCGGTAAAAGTTAACCGATACCAGGAACCGATACCAATGCAGTTGCTTGAAAATGGCTTCACTGTAACTTGTCATTTCTGTTCACCTAATATTTTAGTTTTGTGATGATTTCTATTCATATATTTTACCTTTTATCTACCTCACAGTCTTTTCCTGTTGAAAGCAGAGAAGAAAATAAAATCTGTATTCCAAATCATTGCATTTTTTGGTGTGGTAGAAGTATAGGTATTGGTAATCGGTATCGACGAGTATTCAGATCCAAGTATCGGTATCGTATCGGTTTGGAAAAAAGTGGCATTGTTGCATCCCTAGTTGCGTGTCTCCGCACTGACGCAGACGCAGAAGCATGACTCGGGCTTAAGTTCCCGTGTCTTGTGTTTATGTTTACTGATGGTTTATATAACACAACATAAAGACTGATAACGACATACCCCTTCAGAGTACTGCAGGAATCTCTTATTGGTCTCCTTTCTGCCAAATTTCTGCAAGAACTTCTCCCTGTAGGCCAGAACCGTGTCCACGTGGGTCTTGTGTTTGACGGCCAGCTCCAGAGCTCTGAACACAAAACAACATACTGAATGAACACACTTGCTCTCAAATCACAATTTAGATCTTCTAATAATAAATCCAATATGGCTGAAAAATGGCTTCCTCCAGAACTTCTATTCCCCCCTTTCCTTGGTAAGAGAGAGAATTATACCTCTCCCAGTAGAAAAGGTCGATGTTCATCTGAATGGCTTGGTAGATGAGACCGGCTTGCAGGAGTGTTGACTCAGCTTCCTGGATCTGACCACTGAACATCAGCATGTGGGCCAGAGATGACTCCCTAGATGGCTGCTCCCTAATAAAGTTGATGTACTGCACCCTCGGTAACTGAAAACAGAGGGGGAGAAGACATGAAGAGGAAAAAAAAAAAAGCGAGAGACCATCTTTTTCACTTCATTTGTCCGTCAGAGTCCTTTAGGTGTCAGCCGACTCGGTTTTGCGTGCATCTGTGTCGGCTGGAGAAAATGAATATTCAAATCAATCAGCTGTTACCTCTCCGAGGGCGGCGTAGGCCATTTCTGCTGTGCTCAGCTCCCTGTTGGCCATCGCCATGCCGGCCAGACACGCCCACAGACACCGATCCTAACCACACGGGGAGCAGAGGGACAGCATTAGCAGTTTTCATTTCAAAAACAAAAACGTCTAGCAAACATTTATGCTTTCGGGATTTCATTAAATTAAAGCGCAGTAACGGCTAAGTTGTGATTAAGATTTCACCTGACGGGATTTTCACAACATCATTAATACAATTGTGACAGACTTTTTTAACTTCATCAGCAATAACACTGAATGTTATGTCCGAAAGCACACGACATTTAATTCCTGCTCGTCTGAATGAGCTGCAGGGAGGTCTAGGCGGGGCTCCTTTCCACGGGTAAATAAACCAGACAGACACCAGGTGGAAACCTGACCTGCGGCTTCATCACAGAAACACCTGATAAATCAGGTCCGTCTCTGAAACGAGTCCCAAGGAGAGAGGGAAGAAAACAGAAATGCCAATTATATTCCTAGGAAAAAAAAAAAGATTCAAACTTATTTTAAATAAAAACAAACGTGACGTGTGTGAAGTCAGTAGAACAGAGAAACTAATACAGATAATATTAAAACAAGGATGAATTCAACTATTAAGGTAGGGCTCGTCCTTGTCTAATTAAATCCTAGCTTAGTTTGCTAACAGTTATTTACTTTGTTATGTTTTATTCTACATGCAAAGCCAGTTAAAGACCCGCATTAGCCCCGAGTCAATGTAAACACGTGTCACCGCTTTATTACTACAGCTGCATCGATAAAAAACAAAACAAAGATGTCAGCAACAAATGTCCAACAGTTGTGCTAAAGGCTAACTCATCCTTTAATCAGCGTCTGTCGCGGTGACAAACAGCTGTAATAGGAAACATCCATCCATCCACGGATCTGTAAGAGCTGTAATAGGAAATGACAGAAATCACTGACAGGCCCTGGCTGAGGCCGTAAACGTGCAGCGCCACTACTAAACACAGTTTTAGAGGGAACATTTGTTTTGGTACACACCTCCCGTTGTGCGTCTTTGACCAGAGCTGTAAACTAATCTGCATCAGCTCACGTACGATGGGAGGTTACGGACAACAGCCGGGTTTCTGGGAAAAACCACACGGCCGCCGAACTCTTACCAGAAGCAGCGGGGGAGGGGTCAAGGGAGAAATCTCTTAAAACCCGCGACTCTCTCCATCTCACTCGTTCCACCCCTCCCTCATTAACTGTTGTCCTGTTGTGGTTGCTGCTGCAGAGAGTTTTAGGTCTTGATCAGAATGAGTTAAACGTCTGGCTTCACATTCATCCAGTGAATGCTGTCACCAGGCTAACTGAAGGCTAATTCAAGCCGGCTGTTCTGGTCTCATAAACCTGTCCACTACCTTCTCATTACCATGCCCACTCTCATGCAAAGCATCCAAACATCTGGGTGACATGAATCTGGACAGTGTTGAAGCCTCCGACTGCAGGACAAAAGTACTCAGATTACATGCAATACTTCCACAACGGCGAGTAGAACTAAACTCTATAAACTCACACCAGGAGGTGCTGAGACGTCTTACTTTGGCAAAGCGGCAGAGATGCAGCGCATCCTCCCAGCGTGCTGCGGCGCTGTACTCGTGCAGGATGGCGGGATATGCAGGCACGCTGCTGTACACCAGCGAACCATCTCCTTGGCGTAATGTCACTTTAGTGCCGACGTAGCTCAGAATGTGAGGCGCACGGCTAAACTCACTTAGCAGACACAGATATGCACAAGTTAAAACTATAACAAACGACCACATCCTCACGTTTTACCACATACGACTCTGCAAGGAAGCTCCCTCTGCAAATGCGTGTGTTCCGTGACATTTATAGACCAATGAGAGGTGATAAAGTAATAATCATCATCAGTGTCTACAGGAGAATGCTAATTATGAATGCAAAGATCTGAACGACC